TATATTATATTTATTTTAAATATATAAATAAATTTACCTTTATTTGAATCATAAATTTCTTTAAACATAATAAAAATGCTTCTTTAATACTTTTATTCGAATGGATACCTCATAGCTGTATAAAGTTTATTATTATACTCTACATTTTCCAATCTTTATCGATAAAATGGGCAGTTATGTTTAAAAATACTTTCATTGAAATTAATATTCCAATATCAAATATAAATGAAATATAGCTTTTTGTTTCTTTCAATATCTTTTGAATTTTTTCTTAATTATTTAAATAAAAGTCTATTATATAGGTCTTAATAGAAGTAGCCAATAGTATTTTTGTATCTGGTACTAATGTTTGTATAAAAGCAAGAAAAGCTGATTCTTGGACAATTGTAAAAGGTTGCTAATTAATAACAATCCATTGAACAAGTTTTTTTTCCATTTTTGTTAAGTCATATATCCACTATATATAAATATAAAAAATTAATGATATTTTTTTTTAAATTTTAAAAATTATTTGAAATTACCTTTGTTTTAAAAAAATTGGTAATTTTAGTGTTATCAGTTATTATATTTAATTTTGTCGGGTAAGTTTTTTCAAAATGTTTTATTAAATTAGAAATACTGCTTCCACTACAAATATATATTATCCTGCAATATTTATAGGTAGCCTTTTTATTCTCTTTAAAACTTGCACTTCTTATAAAGTGTTTTCATATTTTATTTCTAGAAATTATTGGGATAACTGAGGTCGATTCTGATAAATTGCTTGTATTAGCATTTTTAATATCGATATTGTCATAGCTAGTTAAACTATTACTTTCATTATATACAAACTGTATGCTATTAAATGAGTTTTCATATTCTATTTTTAAAAGAAATAAATTAGCAAGTGCAAAGGATATGATGAAAGTAATTAAGCAGCAAAACTATAATATTACAAAGAAATAGTTAAAAAATCATTAAGAAGAGCAAGTATTGAATTTTTTTTAACTTGCCTTTTATATTATTTTTAAAAAAAAACTATTTTAATTTTCTAGATAGTTCGATTTTAATAATTATATAACAATTTATGTGGATTGATGTATATCTAATTTGAATTATATTGGGTTTGATCTGAATCTGATTTGAATTTAATTGGATTTGATCCAAATTCAATTTGAATCTGATCAGATTTGATCTAAATTTGATTTGAATCTAATTGGATTTGATTTGAACCCGATTTGAATCTAATAATTTTGTAAATTTAAAATTTGATTCGATCTGAATCTGATCGGATTAAAAATTTTGAAATTTGATTTGATCCTATTCATATTTGATTCACAGATCAATTAGATTTGAATTAAAATTGTGAACACTAGGGCTAGCATTATGCTAGAAAAATAAATTTATTGTAAGATTTGATTGAGACTTGAATAAGTGTATATAGGTCATAAGAATATAAATAAAATATGAAAGTAAAAGAATTTTTGTAAATATAATCAATATACAGTACATTAATCAACTTCATAAGAAGTCTTGAGACAATAAGTTCGATAAACTGGACATCTGTTAATACTTACAAAAAAAAATAAAAAAAAATAAAGTACTATATATACAACTAGCCTATAGAAAGTTTTATAATAAATAATCCTTTTACTGTAATAATCTATAGACAATGGTATTAGTTGAAAGAATTTTCACTTGAACTATTAATGGAATTAAATCCTTTTCAAAGTTGCACTTAGAGTTATTCAAATTAAGACAAGTGAGTTAAAGAATTAACTTTAGTGATATATAAATTTATGTACAGCCTACAAAGCACACATAATTATCTTGACAAAGGGTTTGATAAAAAAACTAAGCGATAATTTTTCTAGTGTCTTTTAAAACAAATGTCAACTTTTATAATGGTTCAGACTCAAATTCATATTCGTATTTTTGTTTAAAAATCTCCTCTAACCAAAAGTGGGCAGTTTTTATTTAATCCCTAGATATTATTAAAATGACATTTAAAAAACCTCGTTTCTAAAATACTGTATATCATACTCTGGTTCCACTATTTCAACTGTTACAACTTCTTCCCTCAACTCCACTTTGGTTGAGTAAAGAGCTCCTGCATCAAAGCCAGGGACCGCTTACTCACAATCCAAGAAGAAGAAGCGAGAATATGAAACCAATAATCAGTGCTCGAAATGCATCTACCCCAAATATAGCAAAACTGAGCGAAGGCTTCCTGTTCGAATTCGAGTCGATGGAGATTTCATGGCTCACGAAGTACCTCTCTCACTATGGCATGGCGTCCTTACATTATAAAACAACAGAATTTCTACGAACACTGTAGGTGTTCCAGTTACTGTATGCAGCACCTGGTGTTCCGAATTATTAAACTTTTTAATAGTGCCCCTGCAGCGGTAGTTAATGGGATTATTGGAATTACAAGATGAAAGATTGACTGCTTAGCTAGAATGATTTATAAAGACGATTTTCATGACAGAATCTTTACAAATTCTCTTTGCGACCTGGTTTTGTATATGACTTAGTGACAATAATGTAATGCTATTTTGTATACTGTTGATCGACACAAAATCGCGTTACGTCACCGTTGTTGTATGCAAAAAAGTATTTTTACGTGTGTGATTGACTTTTGATAAACTCCAGTGACCTGCATAATTTCAAAAATGAGAATAGAGGAACTCGTGATTGACGGTTTCAAGTCTTATGCCGTTCGTACCGTAATTTCTGGATGGGATCCAGAGTTCAATGCAATCACGGGTCTTAATGGATCGGGGAAATCAAACATTTTGGACGCAATTTGCTTTGTTCTGGGAATTACAAACATGAACCAGGCGAGTAGCATTTAGAATGTCCGTACCTGCGGAGAGTATGAATTTTGTCTTACGCATATACCCATTGCAAACAGATTCGAGCAAGTAACATGCAAGAGCTAATTTATAAACGTGGTCAAGCTGGCGTCAATAAAGCTTCGGTGACCATTGTTTTTAATAATGAAGACAGAGAAAATAGTCCTGTCGGATTTGAACAGTATAACCAGATAACAGTGACCAGACAGGTATAACTTATGAAATATATAGTAATCGGTAGACTCAAATGTATTCTCTAATGGTGATTGCATCTTGTAAGATTATCATGGGAGGACAAAGCAAATACATCGTTAATGGACATCGAGCACAACAGCAAGCAGTCGGAAATCTATTTCAATCGGTGCAACTCAACATCAATAATCCTCACTTTTTGATCATGCAAGGTCGCATTACCAAAGTTCTCAACATGAAACCTCCAGAAATTCTGTCCATGATCGAAGAGGCCGCCGGAACACGCATGTTTGAAGAAAGGAAGGAAAAAGCGTTGAAGACCATTGCGAAAAAAGAAAAGAAAGTCGAAGAAATAAATGAGGTATGGACCAAGCTTTCATTAAGGTTTTGAATTGGTTTTTTCATATTGACAGGTGCCTGATATAATTTTAGCTATTGAATGAAGAAATTGGGCCAAAACTAGACAAGCTAAGAACAGAAAAGAGATCTTATTTGGAATTTCAAAAAACAGAATCCGACATTGAAAGATTGAGTCGATTAGTTATCGCATTTGAATATACAAAATATAAGGTTTGCATATTATGTGGTATTAGATTATGCTTCAAAAAATTACTATTTCATAATTTTGATATTATTGTGGTGGTTACAAGGATAAACTTGACAAATCTGGGGCAGATTTTGATGCGAAAAGAGCAAAAGTTCATGATCTTGAAATGTTAAACGAACAACTAAAAATGGAATTAGAGCATTTAGAGGAGGATATAAAGCAAACGACGCGCAACAAAGAGAAGGTACAATCTGACTATAGACTATCATTAATCGATTTAAAAATGATGCTAAATTTTCTTTTTCATCGAAAATTAAGGAGATAGGCAAAGGCGGGAAGATTCAAGAATTGGAACGAGAGGTGACAGAATGTTCAAATAAAATAGTCCGAATACGAACAAAGTGTGATCTCAACAAAGCATCCATTGCAGATGAGATAAAGAACAAAAACAACCTTTTGTCTGGGAAGGCGGAGGTAACCGAGATTGCACTCAATGATAATGGATAAACGCAATGGTGGTTTTGTTTTAAGAGTTCAATAAATTTAGATCGAGGAAAGTTTAAAGCAAAAGAACGAGGAGTCCAAAAAATTGGAGGAGCAATTTGAAAGTATAAGGAAAGCATATGATGAGAAAAAAGAACAAGTTAGGAAGGCCGAGGAACTTTTGCAAACTTTATCAACTGGAGTTTCTGCACAGGAAGGACACGAAAACGGATACATGGAACAACTTCAAGGTTAGAGGCTGGTGATATTCAGTAGTTTACCTGTGACAATTTTTCGCGGAATGCTAATATTTGAATCATAACGATTTAGAGGCCAAAAATAATGTTACTCAAGCGTTAACTGAAATCGAACAAGCAAAATTAAAGGCATCGCATCTTACGAAGGAGTTAAAAGAAAAAGAACCACAAGCTCTTAAGGCTCAGAGGGATAATCGAGGATTAATAAATAACTTGGAATTTGCAAAGAGATCTAAGCAAGAACTGGAGGTAACAATAGTAAATTCAATAAAAATTCAACAAAAAGGAAAAAATAATCATTTCTGTCGGAATTTTACTGTCTAGGCTAAATTATCTCAAATTGATTGGGATCCAAATAGAGATGAGGACATATTGCAAAAAAGATCTGCCGAACAAAATGCTATCCAGGAACTCAACGAGGTATCAGCTTTGTTCTTTCGAGTCATTTATGAGGTGTTTCGGTGTTAAACTTTATATTACTGCATAGAAATGTGAATCCCTGGCAGCAGAATTTACAAATCTGCAATTCACATATTCCGATCCCGAACCCAATTTTGATCGGAGAAAGGTCAAAGGTTTGATTGCTGAGTTAATTGCCTTAAGTCCACAGTATGTGCAGTGTTCCACGGCTTTAGAAATTTGCGCTGGTGGACGACTATACAATGTAAGGTGCCAAGGAAGTTACGTACTGAGAAGTTAAGAGAGCGATAAGATTAAACTGAGTGTTTTTTTTTTTTTTGATCACTAACGAAGGTCGTTGTTGAAAATGAGAAAGTTGGCGCACAACTTCTCGAAAAAGGGAAATTAAAGAAACGCGTTACGATCATTCCTTTAAACAAAATAAAGTCATTTAAAGTATCTGCTGAGGTAAGATCATGCTACCCAGAGAATGTTTTACTTTATTCCTTGGTTTGACGAGTTAATTTGAAATTTAGAAAGTTGCGACGGCACAAAAAATTGCACCCGGAAAGGTGGATTTGGCATTGATGTTAATTGGATATGAACCTGAAGTTACTGTTGCGATGGAATACGTATTTGGCAGTACATTGATTTGTTCTGATGCTGATACCGCTAGCAAGATAACTTTTGACAAACGAGTTCTGACGAAATCGGTTACGTTTGATGGGGATGTTTATGATCCATCTGGAACTCTTCAAGGTGGCTCTAAACCTAGTTCGGCTGGAATTCTGGCGAAGATGCAGGCTTGGAAGGACCTTAAAAAGAAATTGAATAGTCATCAACGTGCACTCGACGGCTTAAATGAAAAGCTTAATGGGACCCAGAGAATCAAAGATAAATATAACCAGATAAAGCAGGAACTAGACTTGAAAACACACGAGGTCACCTTATTGGAAGAACAAATTAATAAGAACAGTAATTCACAGGTAATCGGTTGTCCCAGCAGTGAAGAATAATTGCGCGTAACTAAACAATTTGTCGTTCTTAAAGATTCTTCACGTGATCGAGAATATCAGAGCTCAAATTGCCGAGCAGGAGAATATAATAAAGACCTCCAAGGAAAAGCATAGAGCTGCTATTTCAGACTGCAAGAGGATCGAGAGGGAGATGAATGAGTTTAAGAATAATCGCGATTCCAAATTGAAAGATATTGAGGTAATTTAATAGATCATGTTTGATTCCCCTGAGCATTAATAAATTCATTAGCGTCTGGGCGAACAGAAATCGGTATCCAAAGGTAAATCCGAATTGGCACAAAACAGTCAGGTTGTTACAAACATGCAACGTCAAGTTCAAATATTGCAGCTGGAAATAAGTAAGTTTCGAGATTCTGATGCTTAATTGTAAATGGAAATATCGGTATCGAGATATTACTTAATACATGAATGTATGTTTTGTAGAGCAACTCGAAGAAGATATAAAAAACTCCAATGCGGAGATCGAAAATTCTGATTCTATAATTCGACAATTAACTGAATCTGATAAATCCATGGACGCTGAACTAAATAAGATAATGGTTGATACATATGAAAATATTTATTAAGGATTCTGATTTTTCGGCTAACATCGAGGTTAACTTTAAATTGCAATCAACGATTTAGGGATTGCACTCTCGCGCTCAATCCGAATTAGACAAGGAGTTGCAAATATTATCGGCGTACGACGAGGAAATCAAGGATCTTCAGAATGCGTTAGAAACGAAAAATAACCAAATGAATGAAACGAAACTAAAGATAACGACGATAAATCACGAGATCGAAAGGTTTCTTAAGGAAAAAGAGGCCACTCAGCAAGCCATTCAGCAGATGGAAAAGGAACACGATTGGATCTTACATCAGAGACAGTTAATACGCAACAAATTTTCTTTCATTCGTTCATTACGTCTTTTTTTGTCTAACCATTTGATTGGACTTTTGTGACGCAGTCATTTTGGTGAACCCAATACGGCCTATGATTTCAAAAATCAAAATCCGGTTGAATGCAAAAAGATGTTGCGAAAATTAGAGGAAAAACATAGTAATATGCGCAAAAAGATCAATGCCAAAGTTATGAACATGATCGACAGGTTATATGCTTCTAAGATTATTATAATGATAACGTGACATATATATTAATCCTTCGATTTTCAAATAGTGTTGAAAAGAAGGAGGCCTCTCTAAAGCAAATGTTGGCAACGGTGCAAAAAGATAAGAAAAAAATAGAAGATACTATTGTGTCTCTAGACAATTATAAAAAGGATGCTTTAAACAAAACTTGGAAAAAGGTTGACGCGTGAGTATTCGATTATTTTTCTACTTATATTGAAAGTTTTATTAAATCACGTGTTTTTTCTCTGAAAGCGATTTTGGCGCTATCTTTGGAGACCTGTTGCCAAGTAGTTTCGCTACACTCAGGATACCAGAAGGAAAAGAACTAACTGAAGGCCTCGAGGTGAAAGTTCAACTCGGAGGCGTTTGGAAACAGAGCTTGGCAGAATTGAGCGGTGGTCAAAGGTAAAAAAAATTGACCTAAACGAAAAAACACTTTCCGTACAAAGCTCACAAGTCATCCGTCGCACTTCCATAGGTCCCTGGTAGCTTTGTCATTGATTCTTTCGTTGTTACAATTTAAACCCGCTCCGATGTATATCTTGGATGAAGTGGATGCCGCCCTTGATCTTTCTCACACGCAAAACATTGGTCAATTACTTCGAACGCGATTTAAAGGATCCCAATTTATAGTTGTTTCGCTTAAGGATGGTATGTTTAATAATGCAAACGTTTTGTTTCGCACTAGATTTCGCGATGGCACTTCAGTAGTTGAGGTAAGTGCACCTTTAATCACTTTTTTTATTCCATCACGTAACAAAAATTGAAGAAATTTTGCTTTGTAGAAAACTGCGCAAAAACAAGATAACACGAGGGAAAATGATCGACGAAGGACTCAAAAACGATGAAAATGGTTATTGCTATGTTGTATTCGTTTGCAACATGAAATTTTCTATGTAACTCCATAACATAACAAAATATATTAAATATTGGATTGATTTATCATCCAGATTTTTTGTAATCGAATTGTTTTACGCCCGAACTTATATTATAATACATGTTTTATTCTAAATATGCACTTATCGAATGGTACCTTCTCTCAGAGTCTTCAAAGTTACTGTGCCTTTACTAGTTCTAAAGGGAATTCCCATAAATACAGCGATACCTTCTTCATTCACCTTGAATTCTTCAGAGACTTTTTCGAAAACTTTTTGTTTTGGGTTCAATATTTCGGCATCCCTTTCAGCAATGCCGTATCCTTCCCAGGTAACTGCTTCTCCAATCTCGGATCCTTCCGGTGGATCCAACAATTCAATCGTATCGTTGTCCGGTGAAGAAGCGGCAAGAAGCATAGCATGTGATTCTACACCTTGAAATTTAGCGGGCTTTAAATTGCATACGGCGAGGACATAGCGACCTTGAAGTTGTTCCCGAGGAATATATGCTGCTAGACCAGAGACCACGGATCGCGGTTTACCAGATGCGTCTCCCACGTCCACTGTAGACACATAGGATTTTGGGTTGGACGGATGGTGTTTGACTTCTATAATTTTAGCAACTCGAACATCTATTGTCGATGCATTTTAAATGTTTGATGAGTTAGGTTCGAATCTCTTGAGCACATTGCGATAAATAAGATAATCACCTATCCTTGAAACATCGACGGGCTTCTCCGAAGAATTATTACTACTATTATTGCTGCTATCATTTAAACTATGTTTTTTTGATTCTTTCTTTTTTGCGGGTGCTTTATTGCTAGTTGGTTCTGGATAAGCCTGACGAGTTAATTTTAAAAGCTCGGGATTGCTCGCCCACTTCTTTCTAATAGGGTCCAATAATTTGTTAATGGCTTCAGTTACTGCGGCTTTTAAATCTCCTGGATGAACTTTTTTGTCACGAAAATCATCCTCTAATGATTGATAATCCGTGTAAACAATTTCACCACCGAATTTTTCAGGACGGTTGATAACAAAACTAGGAGTTCGACCATTGAGGGTTCCAATTGGGAACAAAACATATTTAACGAATGACAGGATACCATTCTCGGTCACGTTTCCTTCTTCACAGAAAGCTTTCTTTAATTTACGTTTCACCGTTGCCTCATCGTCAAGAAGATCAATCTTGGAATCAGGATCAGATGATGACATCTTCGATCCTGCTAGACCGGGAACCATAGGATTCATAAGATGAGCTCGTTTTTTGAAACCAAGGTGAGGTAAATACTTTTCAGCGTAGACAAATATTTTTCTTTGGTCGACACCTCCAAATTGCGCGTCCACCCCCAAATATTCCTCATCCAGCGCTTGTAATCCTGGATACAGCAACCCAGATAATAAGGCCGACTCAACTTGTTTGACCACCTCGGCACCCGCTTTTTTTGCATCGTGTTCGGTAACGGTAGCGCACAGTCGAAAATTGTCTAAACTATATTCCTTTGTTAATTGATAATCCGACCCGACAACAAATTTAAGTTTATCGATGGGTACCCCGATTGATATAAAGGCAGCCTTAATGAGTTGTTCATAGTATTTTGTTCTAAACTTTACAAGTTCAAGAGGTGCCTTCATGTTATCAAGGAAAGCATGGATGTCCGCTAAAAGAACAGTTACCTACAAAATACAAGAGAAAGATGATTTCGGGATTACTATAAGCTCGTTATAATCTTTTGACGCGGCATTCTCATATTCTACGCGCACACGAAGTAAAATATGCACCATGCACGTGATTTTATACCTCCGCGACCCTCTGCGTGAAAACCCACCTCAACACCTGCTGACAAAAAATCCGCAATTTTTGAAAATGGGACAAAGTAGCCAATATGTGGTTTTCCTGTTGGCGCTGTTCCCCAATAGAGTTTCAAATCTCTTTCTTCAAGAATTTTCATAATCTCTTCTCCACCCAAAACTTCTTGAAGATTCCTTGTTATTAGTCTATACTTTTCTTCTTTTGTCATTTTGCTTACTCCGTTCGTGGTCATTTTTCTTTTATTATAACGTGGAACCAAACAGTCTCTGATGTAGAAAGAAAAATGATCTAAAAAAAAAAAAAAAAAAAAATAAGGGACACTTACACTTTTTAATTTAACAATGTGTTTGTTATTAAATGTGGCTGCGGCACATATAAGCCTCGAATCAATATGACTCACTCTTACAGATTATAGTGATAAGCCATTTTGGCTGTTACATAAACTCTTTGTGCGCATCTGAATTATAATAAGATATTTTTTTTATTTAAGGTTATCTATCTCATGAATCCATAGTTCAACATACATTGTATAATAATATTAAGGTACAAAAGTTACTGATTCTCTAATTAATGCAATTAATGTTCACAGGAAGTTTGATAATTTTTTTGCTAACAAAGTCTTTATACTTTTCTTAAAACAATTTGAAGAGTATCTTCAAAAGTTATTATTACTTTCTTTTTTTGTTTACAATTCTTTTTAAATAAAAACTTGATCAATTAAAAAAGTCAAGTAAATAACAAAAAAAATTAATAAAAGTGTTTATTTTTTCTTTTATAATTGTTTTTATTCTCTTAAAATTTTTACTTTTATTTATTTCAAATTAATTTTAAAATTTTGAATAATATAAATTTTATTAAAAGTAATTAATTAATATAAAATATATTAATAAAAGAAAATAAACAAGTTTATATTAATATATCAATATATTCTAATATTATTATTATACTAGTCGAAAAATATTTATTAGATATAATACTATTTGTATAATATTTATCAAAAAATAAATAATTTGATATATTAATAACATATAATAAATAAATTGTCAATCAATTTCTATCATATAATTTAACATAAATATAGTAAATTATCAATTAATTTCTACTACATAAATCATTAATCAATTTCCATTATATAATTTAACATTATTTGTCTTATATTTTGCATCATTTTTATTATATATTTCATTAAAATTTTCCTTAAAAAATCGATAGACATTTGTCAAAATTTACATATTGTTGAATTTTTAATTATATATTATATTTACAACTAAATATTGATGAGCATCTTGTCAATTTGAGGATCTATATCTAAATGGAATAAATTAATCAAAAATATTATAAATAGAGATTATGTATTTATGTCTAACTGGATAAAATTTGGTACTTCACAATTCAATATTTATATCATTTTCAGATCTGAAATAAAATCTATTTTCTATTGAATTAATTGATTTGTACTATCAAATAAAGGCCAATCGATGTTCAATAACATTATTTAAAAAGTTTATAGAATGTATAAAGAAAAATTAAACTTTGTTCCAGATACAAATCGACACTTTTATCATAATTCACAAATCTAACTAATATAAATAAACACTTAATATTTCATAAGGACATAATACAATTGAATATTTCACTCTCAATTTATATTTATTATATTGATCTGCTTTATTCTAAATAATTATTGAATTTTTATTATCTTTCATAAATGGCATTTGCAAGTTTATAATTTTATAAGATGCCTTATAGTATTTGACTAATAAATCTAATATTTCAATAGATACCTCTAAATTTTGTTTTTTCAGATACAAGAATTTGCCTGAAAAATATTCAGATCTATTGATTATTGTTTTATAAATATTATATATATTGTTTAAAAATCGATATAACTCATCAGTCAAAAACTGATTTAGTTCAAAAATTAAGCTGATATTTGATCAATTATTTAAAATTTCAAGTCTTTAATTATTAAAATAGAATATAGTTAGATTGATAATTTGACAATTATTTATCAATCTTTATATTAATTTGGATTCAATATTTTGATGACTATTAGACAATGAACTTAGATTAAAAGTTCATTAGAATTCTACTTTTAAATGTTAAATTTGTTTAAAAACCTATCTAATATACTATTCATCCTTTCAAATAAAAAGCATCAAAATATATACAATGGCCTATAATTACATGTACATTTATATAAATATAATGAAAGATAAAAATTCAAATTAATTTTTTCTTTCTCATATTTTTATTCAATTAGTTTAATCATTGTGACTAATCTTTCATAAGCCTCATTTAACAAATTTTATCTTAAAATTTAGTATATTGAGATTTGACAAATCTTAATAAAATTTGTTAGAATTTGGTGATCTATATCTGAAAGATGTTTCTATAGAATAATAGTTACATATATTGTAAAAAAATTTTTCCACTGATCAATAATAAAGTTAAAAAATCCTTCACCACTATTTAATTTTCTTGAAATTCAGTCAATATTTAATGGCACTTGAAAATTTTTCATCATTAATTGTATTTTATTCAATGCATTATTAATCAGTATCTCTTTTTTTAATCCATATTTGTTTAACAAGCCATTTATCAATACCTAAGAAAAAATAGTACATAGAATCGATAACTAAATATTAAATTGAATTATAATAAGGTAGTCAAAGAAATTAGACCATTTTATATGATTCTTTCTTACAAAATGTTTTCATGCTGCATTTGAGTTATAGCATCTTTATTCAATAGAATCTTATTTATATGTCACCAAACTCTTGGTATAAACTAATTCATTTATTTTTTTTTAACCTGCAATCATATTGAAATGACTTGTCTTTATTAAGATACTTGAAAAAATATCAAAATAATTCACAAACCTTCTCACATAATGACTAACTTATTTTTGTACATTATTACTTGAAGGATTACATTATTTAAAAAATATGAAATATCCACTAAGCTAATTCAAACTAAACAAAACTAAGTCTCACTAGGTACTCTAAGTCAAATTTAGGGAACAATATTATGTTCCCCTAGTAGTTTGCATAGTATCTCTAAGTCAACCAGAGTCATTGCAACAGTTTGTTACTATTGATTATCCCAAAAAATGATAAATTGTTAAAGTTGAACTGGAAAAGAAGAAAAATATAGACTAATAACAAGGAATCTTCAAGAAGTTTTGGGTGGAGAAGAGATTATGAAAATTCTTGAAGAAAGAGATTT